ATTTGTATATATAACATAGTCTACGATTTAGATTGTGTATTAGTATTCAAATAAAGTACGGCTACGGTTTTTAAAAATTTTAGTCTAAAACGATGTATAAACTATAATTTTATACTTAAACATAGATTTTTTTTAATATACTTGTTTTAGTTTCTCTTTAGTTAATTAATTAATTTGGACAGAAAGAGAATTAGATACAAGACTAAAAGTGACCAAAATCAAAAACACTGAACAACTATATGAATAAAATAATATGTATTAAGTAGAAAAATAAATTTAAATTAGGACATGTTAATATATAATAAAACACAATTAAGTAGAAAAATAGTTGTGTAGGGACGTTGATAGTTTAATAGTTAATGTAACTCTTAAAAAATGAATGTTACGAAATGCATTTAATAAAATTCAAATTTATTTAACCACTTTAATTTTATTTTTTTCATTTTTCATAAATATGTAACTAAATATTTCAAGAGAACATGTATTATTAACAACATAATTAGAGTAGAAGTTTACATATTTTATTATATACTAAAAACGTGATCTTTTAAAGTACTAAAATATAAAGTAATTTGAAATAAAAAGATTATATATCTAATAGAAATTAACGGGGAATACATAAACTTAACAACAAGAAATTATCTAATAACTGTTTTCGGTTTATTATTTGTTTAGTCTATATCAAACTTATTTTTTATTTAATCATTTTAATATTTATAAATACCATTTTAATCTCTTCTAATTGTTATATATGTTACTTTTAGTCCTTTTATACCCTATGTGCATTGTTTTTTACGTTTTCATCTCTAAAATTGTAGGATTAATTTTTGTTAAAAATATGTGTAAAAAATAATTTTTAAATAAAAAATCTGAAAAGTGAAGTTGTTCCCATAACTTCTCTTGCCTGCAAAATCAGTTTAAAAAATCGTTGCACTATAGCCACGTGACTATATTAAATATTTTTTGTTGCATAATTAATAATTTTTGTTTTACTATTAGACAATGATACTTTTGACAATATTTTTTTTACAACATTTTAACACTGTTTATGTGTCATTCTGTGATTGGTCCAAAATTATTCCACAATCAATAATAATAATCATAAACACCAATATAGATCAATCACGTAAATAATATTAAAATGTTGTCAAAAAAATCTTATCAAAATATCATTATCTTTTACTATTTGCAGTGTTTTGTGTTACTACTTTTTGTGTCACTACTTTTTGTGTCACGTGCCATGCACTTGGTCCTAGATTGCTAGAAACTTTTTGCGCATAAACTTCATTTAGTTTTATTTAAGGATACCTTTCGAAGGATCTTCCTCATAATAATTAAATTCTTATGACGTAATAAACTAATACACTTACATAATACTAGATAATTAAATAATACAAAACCAATCACACTTAACGTATCTATTAATTAAGACTAATAATTTATGCATGAATATTTTTACCGAAAAAATATACTAATATAAGTTCATGCAGATGCTTCTTGTTAACTGATTGAACTTATTTTCTTCTATAAGTATTTATACAATTTATACAAATAAGAGTTCAATTTTTCTTGAGAAGTTTAATAGTCACGAGCTTAGTAAAAATTACAATTAAATAAAACAAATCACTTATGACTTTAAAATGAATATTGAAAATTTATAACTAAATAATGATTTAAATTAAGATAAAAGTATTCTGTGACGCTTAATTGATATTTGTTATTATTTATTACCTTCCGAGAAAGTATTTTAATATTGGTTTATATTCTTAAAAACTAATTAATATTTATAGTAAAATGCTTAAAAATAAATATAGTATAAAATATAAGTTATATATATATATATATATATATAGATTTGCTAACTTATAACCTTGTACTAAATTTTAGTTGACTTGGTTTCTAAATTTTAGAATTAAAAATATTTAAATAATTTTTTATTTTTTATTTTAAATTAAAAATAAAAATGATTAAAAATATGTTTTTTTATGAATAAGAATTTTTTTTTCAACAAAACCTTGATACACTTTAAAAAATTATATAAGTTATTAACAAATATATATATATATATATATATATATATATATATATATATAAATGGAATCATGACTACGCGAATGTTAATCATTATAATATACTAATTTTAAAAATAAATTACATTTAACTTAATTTATAAAATAAAATTTACATTTATTTATATATATATATATATATATATAAATGGAATCATGACTACGCGAATGTTAATCATTATAATATACTAATTTTAAAAATAAATTACATTTAACTTAATTTATAAAATAAAATTTACATTTATTTATACTATAACTTTTTTTTCTCTCTTCCATTCATTACTATTTGTTAGAGACTAAAACATTTTAAACGTTTCAGGTAAATATTTTTTTATAGTTAAATAGTGAATTGATAACTAATAATACGATAAATATAGTTAACTTATATAAAAATATATGTCAATATTATTTTATAAAATTAAATAAATCATGTTTTATTTATATCTATAAAGATTCATTGTTTTATTATAAATTTTGATATTTTAATTATGTTAAGATTTTAAAATTCATTAATAATTTGTCATCATATAAAAAATTAATAAAAAATCTTATTAAACTCATAATAAAAAATATATTTTATGAAACATAAATAAATTATACTATTATAAAAATTAATGAAAAAAAAAAGCAAACATGAGAATAAATTTTGTTAGAATCTCTTTTACATGTAAAGGAGTTTTATTTTTATTTATAATTGTAACGAAATCTAACAAAAAGAAAGGCTTAAATGTTTTTAATAGGACAAATATTTTGATTTATATGATATAAAATAATGTTATCTTTAATCATTATAAAATTATCGAGACATCTATAAATATTTGTGAATGATCTAACAACTATAAGATATGGTACCATTATCCAACAAGATTTAATATAACAAAATCTAATATCATATAAAAAAAATGATTTAAATTTAACTTATTTTGAGATACTAATTTAAAAGATGAAAATTATAATATGAACTCATTCTATAAATTGGAAACGTATAGGAAACCACAAACAAAAATGGCATAATTGATTACATAATAAAGTTCATTGTCTTTTTTGGATTTTTGGTTTTTGCCAGCAAATAGAACTCTTCACACTCAGAATTAAAGTGAGAGTTACGAAAAGTTTGACTTGGTTTCACATATCACAAAGGACAGCAATAATTCTACCGACATCTTATCTTTTTTAATATTTCAAAAGACTCAAAGACAACAGTAATCGTACCAACAATAATTTAAATATTTATTCAGTATCTTTAATAACTTGTAGGATAAAAAATAGGAAATGAAAATGAAAAAAAAATAAGTGAAAATAACTATAATGTAAGATAAATTTATTATTATCATCATCATCATCGTTTATTTTTATTTTACTTATACATTAATCATTTTAGATAATTTACTATTGTTATAAATAAAACATTAATATTAATAAATATGACATAATAAATATATAAAAATATATATATATATATATATATATATATATATATATACAGTGATATTTAACAAACAAAAAGGAGTGGTGTTATGTTTATCATAAGGAGGCGTGTGAAAGAGAAGAAACAGTGTGAACATGTGTGTTTGTCTTATTTCCTTCTTTATATTGAAGATGTTGCGTACACTCGTTACACCAAACAAATAAGAAAGGAAAATCATTCACACCAAACTCGTTTATTAATAATAAATTTAATATCTAGAAATAAAACATGATTCCAAACTTTCTTAAAATACTTAATACCCTATTTTGTCCCCCGTTTTGCTCGACAATGTCAAATTAGTCCATCTTTTAAAACGTGCGTCAATTACGTCCCTACTTAATAAAATTTATATTAATGAAATTTCTTCCGTTAAATCCGTACAAACGGCGTTAATAGAAGAGAGAGAAAAATAATTAACGCCGTTTGTACGGATTTAACGGAAGCGATTTCATTGATATAAATTTTATTAAGTAGGGACGTAATTGACGCACGTTTTAAATGATGGACTAATTGGACATTGTCGAACGAAACTGGGGACAAAATAGGGTATTAAGCCTTCTTAAAAATACAAAATTATTTTTGTTAGCTTTTTCGTTAAAATAGCTAATAATTTGTTTTCACGCACAAATCTCCTCGCTTAATAACATTAAAATTAGTTCCTAAATAAAACAAATTCATTGATTCGGCACTTAAAGTTGTTTTCCTCTCCTATATTTATGAATCACTAGTGAAAATTATCAATGTTATTATCCTAATGTTATTTGTTTTTGTCATAATTAAGAGTAATTTGAGAATTATAATTTTTATTTTATGAAATTAAGAGCATTAAATGAATTTAACTAATACTAACATTCTTAATCATAAGGTATAAATTAAGAAAGTTATAAGTTATTAACTTTCAAAAAATAGTTTTTGTACAGATGATATAGTATTTAAAAGTAACATAAAATAATAAATATTAGAATTGTATTTAACGTGTAAATTATTTCTCTAACATATATTTGTTATCATCTTAGTCTATAATAAGAAAAATTTCTATTTTTATTCATATACTTAGAGTATTGTTTTTCAGTAATGTCACACGATTGACATATTAAAGTTAATAAAATAATATTTAAACATTCTAAATGGGATCTTATTAAATGATTGTATTTAAATGAGGTTAATATCCTATAAGCATAACTCCCCTAATACTAATAGAAAAATATAATATTTAAATAAAATTTTAGACTAAATTATTACTTTAGATTGTTCAACAAAATTATTTATTTAATTTAAGTTTGTAAAATAAAAAAAATTAAACTCGGTTTTAATTATTCAACTAGTTTTTTTTTTCTCCTTTTCACTCGTCAAGTTAAGCAAAAGAAATTTTTTTATATTTCTTTTCTACTTATTTTGGTTATTGAAACAATATATATGTTACCCTCAAACAATCTCAAACTCTAATAATATCATACACCGTTTCATTTTCAAACAAGCCTTGCCACTTAAAAATGTTACCGTTACGAACCCAACACCCCAACGTCTCTTTCCATTTTTAAACCTAAGCCCCAAAAATTTTCTTGGAATCTATCAAATCTTTCACTCACTCATTCACTCACTCTCATTTCTCGATCATCTCTCTTGTTCTGCAACACTTACAATGGCTCTCAGACCCATCGACAACGCTCTCCCAACAACAACACCAGAGAGACCCAAAAAGCAACCCAAGATCGCTGTTGCAACCCAAAAGCAGCAAGATCGTGCTGCTGTCGTCAATGGCGAAAACCAAGTTCCCTTGCCCTCATCAGGGGATTCCACTGTTGACTATGTCTCCTCGGACAACCTTAAACCCTTGTCCGATCCCGAAGTTCAGATTCAGGTTTGCGTGTGTTCTTCTTTCTCCCGCTGTGCGATTAAAGATTTGGAATTCAATCTTTTCGGATTATTTTATCTGAAACATAAAAATGTTTGGAAATGCAGAGTTTGATTGAAGATTTGAATTCGAAAAATTGGACCAAAGTTTGTGAGTCTCTGAACAATGCTAGGCGATTTGCGGTGTTCCACTCATCCCTTCTATTCCCTATTTTGTAAGGGATATTTTATGCTCTTTTCTTTGTTTAAATTTATATGTTTTTTTTTAAGTTTTGAGCTTTGACTGTTGGGGCAATTGATTTTCGAGGAATTAATGAGATGATGTCGTGGGCAGGGGAAATATTGTGTTGGTGGTGACGAAGACAATGAAGAACCCTCGTAGTGCCCTTTGCAAAACCGCAATTATGGCAGCTGCTGATATTTTCAACGCCTTTGGTGACAAGTTGCTTGACCCCGAGACCTCTGATGCATTTGATGGCTTGGTACTTTAACTCAGATTTTTCTGATATGATCTATTTTGTAGGGTTCATTGAAAATGTATTTTTTCATCAAAATTGGTTTTACTCAGTACATTTTCAAAGGTGGTTTTAGTTCTTAAATTTGTAAAAATGTTGTGAAAAAGATAAATTTTGACCAGAACTTGAGGAAACATGTTTTAAACATCCTTTTTTTTGTTGTCAACTAATGGGTTGGAATGTGTTGTTTGGTTCAACATCAACAGCTGCTGCAGCTTCTGCTAAAAGCTTCCCAAGATAAAAGGTTTGTGTGTGAAGAAGCTGATAGGGCACTAAGCTCAATGGTTAGTTCCATGACCCCTCTTCCTCTGCTTCAGAAACTAAGGGTATATGTGAGTCACAAAAACCTTAGGGTCAGGGCCAAGGCTGCTGTTTCTCTCTCCAACTGTGTCTCAAAGATGGTGAGTAGACATTACAAACACATGTAGACATTAACTCTTTCTTTTACGTTGTTTGTTTTTGTGTTATGCACTGTTCTAAGGTATGTGAATGTGAGCAGGGTCTTGAAGAAATGGAGCACTTTGGGTTGGCTGAACTGATTGAAGTGGCAGCTGATTTACTGAATGATAGACTTCCAGAGGCAAGAGATGCAGCCCGAAGTATTGCAACTGACGTGTATGGGGCACTGACTAAGGACGCAGAACAGAAGATGGAGTTGTGGCAGAGCTTCTGCCAATCCAAGTTGCCACCAATTCATGCACTTTCAATGTTGAAAATAGTTAAGCCCTGAAAAGGAAATGCTTTCTCTCTTAGTTTAGCTGTGTTTCAGCTCATGTTTCTTCATGAGTGTCAAATTTTTTTTTTATATTCAGTGTTACCTTCTTGAGTAGCAATATTGAAATAACATTTCATTCAGTCAGTTTGCTCCATTTACAATACTGTGTAATCTCTCTATATATAGCGGTTGCCACATTATCGATTTGCTCTCCCTATATTCAGTTTTTAAAAACAGATAGATGTTTGAAAGAATTTCTGTCTTGTAAAAAAGCATAATATAAAGAAGAATACTTTTATTACTTTAATTTCCATAATACTTTGTTAAACCCTGTTACTTGTAGCTTCTGGATTTATAAGCAATGCTATACATAATTTTTTAAGATAGTAAAATTTATAAAAGCTAAAAATGGTACAAAAAGGACAATTTTAAGATTTTATAAATTATCGAGTCTTCTAGCCGCCATTTTATTACTATTGATTCTTGTAGTTTACCGATTTGTTTAATAATTTTGCCTTTCGTTTATTGATATGTACTTTGTCCTAGTTCACTAATCAGGTTCCTATTTCTGTGATTTGGATTTAAGGTCTCTTGGCAAGGGTGGACCTTCTTTTATTAGTGTGATTTCAAGATATTGATAACTCTCAAATTTAGAAAGAATAATATATTTTCTTCTCTATTTTACTAAGAATAATGGACGAATATAAATACACCAATCTCTTGATTACTTTAAGAAATATAGAAAATTAATTCAAAGAAAGCAAATACTTATGATTATAATTTTTTTAAAATACTTTATCCTTATTTTAAAAAGCTAGATATCCTTATTTTATTTCCATGAGCAAACAATCATCCATGTTGGTACCATGCACCCAACAATCATCCATATAGGATAGTAAATAGTTACATCATGTAATAGTGTAGGTTGGTTTCTTGGACATAGATTCTGGAGTGACCTTTTCTCTCTTTGAATAAACTTGATTTTTTATAAATATGTGTAGATTAAGATGCAGGCTTCTCTAGGCCCAGGAGGTTTAGGCATAGGTTCAAATGTCATATTTAGAAGCTTGATAGGCTTATCTTTTTCTCTTATATTCTGCGACTAAAGATGAGGCTGCTTGAAATAGTTCTCTTATTCATTGTCACAGATAATTTTTTGGATGGTAGGTGATAATATTTAAAAAATGATATTTTGACTTGTAAATTTTTTACATTCATATTGACACTATCATTATATTTTACTTTCTATCTTTAAATTCTTAAATAGGAAAGGGAAACAAATTTTACAACTTGAAATGAAGGATATCCTAACCAACAATGTTATAGTTGAGTCTTCTCTTCATTGGTCATGGTGGATTCATATATGAGGGAGTGACTATTGATAGGCTTAGGGTCTTTCATGTTGTAAATGTCATCCTATTATCTGGCATGTCTAATTGTCCTCGTGGAGTTCTTGTCTTATAAAATACAAGAATTACTATACTAGCAACATTACATAAAAGATATTGAGTTTTTGTACAGAAATTAAATTAGACAAATTAGGGACATGAACGACTACTCTTCTTAAAATTATGAATGGCTTACTTAGACCTCTCCTTGTTAAAATATAGAGAATATGCAGGGAAGTATTTAGATAGTGGAGTTGTATATTAAAATGGAATTGGTGTCAATTCGGCTACTTCAATTGCCGATTTAATCCTCAAATGTAAAGTTACATAGATAATTCCAGACACCAAGGATCATTTAATGCTTATAGTTAGCATTGTCCATGACGAGAAGTAAAAATAAGGATCAAACTAACAAATGTTTTGCACTTCGAAGAATTATTTAGATCAATACACTACCCTACCACCATGTTTCCAAACTGCGTCCAACAAAAAAACCATGTCATGCAGCCTGTCAGTGTAGATACTTACAGAGGAATAAAAACGGTATATAATTTAGAATAAAAACTTCACTTCCAATTAGCAATGAAGAGCAACAAGTCTTTCGAGTTAAGAAAAAATAACGCTTTTCCCCTATGAACCTGACATGTCCTTTCAAAGGCAGATGCAATACCTCAAAAGATGAGGCTCACAATTTTACCAGGCTTAAGAATGCAATGTGTTGCTGGATAAATTACGATGCAATTGAATACAGGATTTTGCAGCACAATCACTCACAATAGATAGAAAAAACATCGATGTACAATGAAGGGGTATATCCAAATAAAGACGGACATATTCCCCTAACAAGTTGATTCATGTTACAAAGCATAAAGTATTCATCAACTTTATGCATTCTGCATGAGGGAGTCAATTTGAGCACAGGACTTGGGCGAAGGCTGCTGCATCATCTCCACCTCATCCAAATCTTGAGATTGGATGTTTATATCCTGGCAAACAAACTGACTGTTACAGAAATGACTAGTACAGGAAACAGGAAGAGATTGCATTGCATTATTACTCTTTTAAACAAAATTGCATTTCTTCCATAGATTCATACTCAATAAGCTTGCAGGAAGAAGTTAAAAAATAGATATTGGATTATAAATTCAATACTTGTGTCGGTAGAAGTACTTGAGGTTGCTGATCTTGGTTTAATGGATAAGCTTGCGGTTGAGACATTCTATAGTAAGGTTCTTTCAGATCAAGTTTACAGGATGATGTTTGAAGAATCCCTCCTTGTTCAGCACCAGGGCCCCATGTTTTAGCTAAATGAAAATTGAAATTTGTTCATCCACAACATGGTGCAAGATATAATATAGTAATAAATCAGAAAAAAGAAAACACACACACAATTACCAACCTGACAATGTTAAATAGATTGTATAACTCTGCGCAGTGTGGGCAATCAAGTGCATCCTGCCAGTGATTTCTTGCCCTGCCACAACATATATTGGCTGTGAGAGAACACAGCGTAACTGATACCAGTGGGTTGTAGGTGAACCAGGGGCAGTGGTAAGCCACCTTCGAGCAGTACTGCGGATTTGGAATAATTGAGTGACAAATTGTCTTATGCAAACAATCACAAAGAAGTGATGAATGAAAAAACAGACAATATTGATCACGTAGAAGAGAACGATTACCTTCCATTGAACAGCACATCAAACCAACAAGCCAACCCATGTAGCCTGGCACCCACAGTGGCTATGAATCTAAGAGGAATGTCAATTTCATATAGCTCCTCTTCCTACAGAATGAAACATGATTTGAGCACATTGATACAATATAATTCAAGAAGGAATACAACCGCGATCCAGCAATAGACCAAAAGGATTAATTGATGGATACAAACTACCAGGTCACATACTTCTATTAACAAGTTTCCTGTCAGAAATATGCTGGTATATATGCATTAGGTGGAGTACTACTGTGGAGATGATATCAGTTTGTTTCACGGAAAGTGGAATTTATCAGCCGGTAGGATCTCTGGAAAGTAACCATCTAACCAAATATAACTGAGAAGATTCTCACCTTTATTTTGGTAAAGTCTATCACATGGAACATAGGAGCAGCTATTAACAACCTTGGATCAAAAGCATCGACCACAGGCTGCATGGAGAAGAGAAAAAAGTGAAGTGGGAGAATATATAATAAATTTATTCACCACAACATAAATTTTAAAAACCATAGCAGTCCAATTTTAATCTTTTGACAATAATGGCACACTCGTGGGAATCCCTAGAGGCAAAAGGCTAGTAATAGAAAATGTTGAGAAACATTTTAATTCTATTCTACCCATTTCTGTTTCGCATGTGGGATCCTGAAAGAATTCAGAAAACAACACGTATCATAGAAAAACAGAAAGCTAATCGACTAGTAAAGGTTAAGACACTCATTTTACCCATCTTAGTCTAGCCCATGGAATTTGAAATGGATTGAGAAAACTAAACAAATCGTAAAAATGTCAAATCATGGAGATATGACACCATTAATAAGAACAACTAACCATCTCCTAACAGGAAAGATTAATCCTTCTAAATGGTTTCAACTATAATTATTCTGTCTCCCTCTACCTCTAACAATAGGGCTACACTCCATCAAATCTTTTCTTCTAAATCCGGCTCCTACTGATCTTCATCATGCACATCTAAACGACTTAACTAGATTCTACCATTTCTCTACAGTAGGCACCACACCACCAATTGTCATTAATTAATTTGTATTTACCACAACCCAATGTTTGGATCATCTTTACTGAGACCAACAAAGTACTCACAATAAACATTACATTGATAGACAAGAACCCCATATTAGAAAGGCGTATGTTAGAAGGAAATCGAGAGAAAAAGAGGATTAAACCTGAGAGGCAGATTCGATGGTAACTAGTATTATCAATTCAGAATGAATAGGAAATATTGGCAACTCCAAAAATCATTCATGAAAACATATCAAAAGTCATAACGACTTATTGTTGAAGCACTACAGACAAAAAAAAAATTACAACATATACATGAAGATAATTAAAAATGTAAACTAATGAAAGACAACCATATAATTAATAATAATAATGATAATATCAAGTCTAGAAATTCAAATAACAGTATAGCCCTCAGCTTGCTACGTGAATTACAAATATTATTCCAACTCAACTTATTTGCCAGGCACTCCAACTATGTTACAACGGAAGCAGATCCTGATTTTACCCTTAGATTTAAACCATTGTCACTTAATACAAACTCTCAATAAGCATGCAAATATTTTACAAGATAATAGAAATAGGTGCCAATTTATTAAGAGACAATGAGTTTGACAGAATGGAATGCTTGCATCAGGAATGCAACAGGAAGAAAGGAAAGAAACCAAGCGAGGATTATGTTAAAATTAGAGGTAACAAGGGAAAATATAAACAAAAAAGCCAGAACTAAATGTAAAGCTGCATATGGACCAATTGAAATGCATTTTCAGCTTGCTATGTAAATGCCAAGTACTATGACTCATAGAATCATGAATTTGACACAGAATAGTATGAAAAACAGGTGATGTTGCAACTCAAACAATAAAAATGCATTCATATGTCTAAGTGAACAAAACAATAACTACTGTCGTCTCTAAGTGAATTGTAAGCCTTATGATCTCCAGAAACAGATATCACATATAATGTGCAAGGGGATCACCAACAAACATTTTAGACATGTTCCAAATACACCCCTATTCTTATCGGAAAAGACCAG